TTGTCGTTAAAATCAAGAAGATAGAAAATATTTGTTTTTAAGTATGCACAATTACAAATAAAATATGTTTTTATTTGATTATCTAAATAATTCTTAATCAAGTATCAGCTAAACAAGTATCAGCACGAGCTGACCAACGAGTTTGTAAGAGAGTCTAAGCCCTTAATACGTATTCCAGCAAGAAACTTTGACTTTAAGACATTAATGCGTTGATGCAGAAAAGAAGTTATAAATTTCGTGAAGAAAGATAAAGAAATTAATAGTAGCTCCGTTAGATTCCGTGGCACTCACTCCTACTAGGTTCAAATAGTAAGCAGTACATGGATTGTATTCGGCAAGAACGTTGACCCCTTTAATTCTTGCTTGTAAAACTATGTAGATTTCAGACATATTACTGGCATTGTTGTATAACTGGCCACGCCAATTTCGAATGTTGATTGTATACTAACCTAACTTTTTCAAAATGATTTCAAGCATGGAAACTGCAAAATAATTATGCATCGGAATGAATGCTAAGAACCGCTTAAATGGATTTCATATCGGAAGTAGAATTATTAATAATGGAGAAATATTTTGAAAACTTGATTGACTACTCTAACATTTTACTTAAGGATGATCATATTACCTATAAGTTTATATAATTACCTATTATATCACCTATAAATTCCATAACCTTGACGGCTATTAAGTTTATAAGTTCTTCGCAAATGTCTTAGATAAGTACGAGGTACTACGCTTTCCATTGTTTCCAGAAGTTATTAAATATTGGGCGAGGAAAGGATCAATTTTACTAATACCTCAATACATCCAATAAAGTGTCTGTTGCGTGTCGAACCTAGTTTTTCGTCTGATCCGCGGAATCCCAGTGGGCACCGGACCTAAAAAAGACGTCTTTTGAACGTTCAAAAGACGTCCAAAACGTTCAAAAGACGTTCAAGAGACGTTTAAAACGTGTAAAAGACGTTTAAAAGACGTTTTTTTTTTTGTCCGTGCTCACTGGGATGATAATCCTCTGAGAATGAACAATAAATAAAATATCTAATTGATATAAATTTCTTTTATCTCCATTATATTCTTAAATTTATTTTAAGTTTCTTTTTTCATCTTTATGTTCGAACTCGAAACTTCTTTCAAGTCGTTAAAAAAAAAAATCGTCCAGTTTGCAATACGTCGTATGTGCTGTTATTGCAAAGATTAAAAATCTCTGGGACATAAAAGGAAGTCAAGGATAGAGGCCCATAGTAATAATATTTATTTCAAAATATATATCTCTCAAAAACTCACTTAGATGCTCTGGTCCCTTGAACTCCGTGGCCTCCCGACACGTGTCCTGTGTGTCCGTTGGTTAAACCGGCACTGATTCCGCCTAATCATTGTTATATATAGCGATTTATAAAAATTTATATACATATATATATATATATATATATATATATATATATATATATATATATATATATATATATATATATATATATATATATATATATATATATCCATATAGTAGCATGTTCGAGAATAGATTTTACATTAAAATGGATACTTACGAGGACATTAGCAGTAACGGGGACAGTTTAGTGTACTCGATAATTTTTTCTCCTCGTAAGTAGCGTCTTTTTTGTAAAAAAATGTCCCCGTAAATAGTTTTTATGCAAAGCGAAAAGTACATACATCGACTGACAAATAGCCTGACTCGCAAGGGAGTGCTGCTACATCGACTGAGGGTTTGGTTTGGCCAGGCAGCAAGGTCAGGCCTAGGGTTAGGGTTAGGGTTAGTTATTTTAATGTAAATAATCATTTTTGTAAATATATATATAAAAATATAAAATATAAAAGATAATAATTAAATAAAAATAATAAAAATATTTATAAAAAAATAAATTTTTTTACGAAAATAATAAATTTAAAATGAATAAATAAAAATTGACATATAATAAAAATATAAAAAAAAGAACATATATGAAAAATATAGTAAAAATAGAGAAATAAAAATTGCGATTAACGAGGGAAAAAAAAATGTACCCGTAAATCAAGCACTAGTAGTGTATATCAAAATCTATTATTTATGTTTAAAACTCATAAAAACATGCTTCCAACATATTTTCAACCTCATTTTACCTTAATTAATCATAAATACTCTACAAGACATTCCATTGGCAACTTTCTCATCCCTACAACATCCCTTAGAAAAACAGACTTCTCAATTACATGTCGAGGACCACGTTCGTGGAACTATTTCCTTAATAGAGACATGAAAAACATGACTTCAATTGAACTATTTAAAAGAGCAGTTAAACGATACTTATTAGATACTAAAAACGTTCTTTTGTATTTTTAAAAACATTTATATATCGATTTGTTAACACGTATATATGCATCTTATAACTTATATATTTTATGAGCTGTAATATGTTATAGTATGTACAAAACTTGTAATATGTATAAAACTTATATAACGTATATTTTAGGAACCTAATACGTAAATCTTATTTGACATTTTCACGAACTTAGGAGCAGGGTGATAAGACGAATTGTCTTCTACTTGCTCCTGTCAGAATATAAAGATTTAATTCTTACAAAAAATATTGTAAAATGATTGTTTATTGACGAAATATAAATATATATATATATATATATATATATATATATATATATATATATATATATATATATATATATATATATATATATATATATATATAATCAAATAACAATAATTTTTGCATATCAAGTACTTACGCGCTGCGCAAGTGATTGATATGTGAACAAGCAATTTGATAGAAACACTAAAATGATATGCGGGCAAAAACATTCTATTACGTTAAGCCTGGACTTTAATGGCTGTAGAAACTTTGTGCAATAGCTGAGCGATTTTATTGATAATAATTATTGCAGAAATTGGTTTGTTTCTATTTCTGCAACCTTTGTTTTACAACAGAATCTTTGCATCGCAACCGATGTTAAGTTGTACAACATAAGCAAGAAAATTTTTCCGTTACAAAGTATAGTTGCTGTACAACTGTTATACGGCGTTTCTAAAACAATTGGAAACCAAGCTTTAGGAAAACCCTACGCTATTAAAAGTGAAACAAAAAGTGACGGTCATTTTTTTTTCTTTGTCATGAAAAGCAATTTAAAGAGCGTCAATTAATTAACGACATTTTTTCCCATTAGTTTATTATTTTATTATAGTTGGCAGAAATTTAAGCTTTAATCTAAATTATGAGAAAGCTAAAAATTTAGGCGCTTGTTTTTAGCGACTATATGCGCCTTGGTTGTTTCCTTTCACTATTTGTTGTTTGAAAGCAGTCTTGGCTGTACCAGTTTATTTTTCAAATATTATTTATTTATAGAATTTTATGCAACACTTGCTTTATAGGTGTTGCTAAAAATATTTAAAAAAATTGTTTTACAATGAAAATAAAAATTGTCTAGAGCTACTATTCGGCAAGTCATATAAAAATAAAAATAAAACAAATATGCTTTATTGAATATTGAGTAAAGTGCGCGCAATCTCAATTATAATTGGCGCGTAAATCAATTAAACTATATGCCTCAAATACTTACAGTTCGTCTTTTGTTGGCGGGAAGTTAAATGCAATAATTGCGCGCGTTAACTACTTAATCTTTCATTAACGATTAACATGTGTTTTAAACGTATTTTGTTTATTTATTATTATTTTTACTATTATTATTTTTTTTTTTTGCAACGAGTTCATCATAAAAAAATTGGAAGAAATGAATTATTATTATCTAAATAAACTTGGATTATGTTAGCATTTTTTTATTGTGTAGCAATAATTGTAAAAAATACAATCAAAAAAAGCACTAAATTTAAAACAAGTTTTCAAAAGCTTCCAAAATATCTCCAAAAATGTTATTTTATATTTTTTTTAATGAATTTTTTGTAATAAAAAAAAACTGGTTTTAATAAATTACAAGGTTTTCATATTATTTTTAATACATTTTAAAATCACAATGTTCTTTTAATATTTTTTCGATATTTTTTTATAAAAAGTTTTTAAGTGACAGCGCATTCTTTAGTAACAGCATAACAAATGGACTATTTTTTTTGACAACGAGATTCGCCGTGTTTTCTCCTTTATTAGTAGATCTGGTCGCATTGATTTAGTGTTAAAACCTTTAAATCGCAACGTGCAAAATGAATTAAGTGATCTTATTCACAAATACCATGAGATTGAGTATGGCTACAACTGATACCTGAGCACAGCAGAGTATAGGTATTCATTAAATTTTGAAAGAACTGAACTGTAAGAACAGTGTGCCATTTATTCTGAAGTTACTTTTGTCACAGTTACTTTTGTTCCTTTAAATGATGTTATAGACGAAAGGTACTGACCCCCTTGGTTTAGCTCACTGAGTTCTTAAAGATATTCACTGCAGGACCTATATTCTCTACACGTGCTGTGAAATTCAGATTTTTAGAAATCTGGGCGCGCTGCTTGTTTTGAGCGCTTAACTTTCATGCCCAAAACGTTATGTTTTTGAAGTTTATTAGTCAACAACAAAAAAAAAAAAAAAAAAAGAAAGAAACAAATGTAAACTTTAAAATTTTTTTTTGCGAAATGTTTTGTAACTAAAATGTTGACAGTAATTAAAATTCACTGCGATTTTATTTTGTCCAATTTTATCACTTTGATTTTTTTTTTCTTTATAAAAATGCTAAAAACCATTTTTTTGTTATGTTTTTTATTCGTTTTAAAGCAATATATATAAACTACTTAATCTAAAAAATGAAGAACTTTAAAAATTTCAAAAAAAAAATTTTCTTGACGTTTAAAATACAAATTTATAGTTCAATAGTTGATTAAATTAAAAATTGTAAATTATGCAACAAGGAGTATATAAGTTATTTTTAATCAACCGTAGGTTATGCTATATAAGACATGCTGAGTTGGATTTAAGGTTGTATGAACTTCTGCACAGCTTTCTGAATGGCGCCGCATGCATAAAAGGCTCGTGAATAGTTCTCAAAAGCGACTTAGTGAGAGAAACGCGCTGATTTAACGTAGCTGATAAAAAAGTATCAATATTTTTGCACAGTGAAGAAAACAGTAAAACGAAGCTTGACAATAAAGCTCAATTCAAAGGAAAAGAAATAAAATCCGTCATTTATCTTACGTCAAGATCCGACAATTCATCTGGCATTTGCTTACCAAAACGCCAATTTATTTCATTCAAAAAGTATTGCAAAAGAAAAATGAGTGATACCTACGACTATAGAGTGCTTCGTCCAAACACGCAGACCACTCCTTATAACCCTGTACTATCTGCTGCGTATCATAACTCTACGCTTCATTCAAGTTGTGGAGCCGCAGCGGCAGCTGGAAATTATTTGTCACATTCAGATTATATTCCATCAGTAACACATTTACCAACAAAACAAGAGCCACATGTTCACTTGCAAAGCGCCGCAAACAGTGGAGGTATATCTTATTATGATTCAATAAACATTCCTACCTGCAGTGTTAGTTCCAATTCTGCCCGCTATTCGCCGCATTCTTACCGTTATTCGCACTATATAGGACAAGGATCTCAATTAACCAACCCTGTACATCACGCTTTAACAAATAGTGATATAACATCTAGTTCATCTCCACATGCTTATTATCCATCATTTGTACCACCTCCACCATCAACCAGAGGCTATTCTAATTCTAACTTTTTATCAAACCACTCTTCTTATGGTGGATTAGAATCGGAGTTATGCAGTCGAAGTAGATATGGTGCTATATCTCCAGGACCTTTTCACACTCCATACATTGATCAAACGCTGCTCCACCAATCTACTCCACCGGGTATGATATACCAATATATGAGACACCCTGGCTCTACGTATATAATGTCCTGTATGTGGATCGAGCATCATGGCTTTTCAAAAATGAAACCTTGTGGACGTCAGTTTTCAAATATGCTTGATATTGTAAACCATTTAAGCGAGGAGCATGTTCAAACTGCTGACACTGGAAACGGACTGTATGTTTGTCAATGGCAAAACTGCCCTAGAAATGGATTGCCATTTAAAGCAAAGTATAAACTTGTCAATCATCTTCGTGTGCATACTGGAGAAAAACCTTTCCCCTGTCCATTTCCTGGTTGTGGAAAATTGTTTGCTCGTTCAGAAAATTTAAAAATACACAAACGCACTCATACTGGAGAACGGCCTTTTGTTTGCGAGTTTTCTGGATGTGGTCGTCGGTTTGCAAACTCATCTGACCGCAAGAAACACTCTCATGTTCATACTTCTGATAAACCATACACGTGTCGAGTTGGAACTTGCACCAAAAGCTATACACACCCTAGCAGTTTACGAAAGCACGTTAAGGTCCACGGTGATGGTTCACCTTGTGATTTAGATAACGAAAGTCCGTCAAATGAAGAACTATCTCCCGGAGACACATCTGATGCTATCAATGAACGAATGGACAGTGTAAGAATATCTGTATAGTAAAACTTCTAGAATTTTATGTTTACATTACTTGTATATATTGTACATATTCAATACTGTAAATGTTTTTGCTGCATGTAAAGAGCTTTTCATGACACAGGACATTCTTTATTAATAACTTATTTTTTTTTGTTTCAATTATTATTTTTATGTATTTATTGTAGATAATAAAATGTGCATAAGGCGTCATTTTATATGAAATTTTTTTGTATATATTTTATTGTATAAAGGAGCATATGTATATAAGATGATATATCAAAAAAAAATTGTATTATACATAAACAAGAATAAGTTAAAAACAAAAACATAGTAGATTTTTAATAATTGTAATTGTTTACATTTTTTAACTTTGATTTCATACTGATAGTTTTTAGTTGCTTAAAAATAATTTTGTTAAAAAAAAAAATGTGCCAAAGATGAAATTTATAGTTTAGCTTACTTTCGGTCGAATTTGTATATACTTTAGACGATATTTTGTCTGACTTTTTTACGCAAAGTTCAGACGAGAAAACTTTTTTTTTTTCCAAAAAGTGTTAGTATCTACAAAAAAAAAGAAAAAAAAAAATGCTTCGACATCATTTCTCTTGGATTTATATTATATTATCGTAAGGTTTTGAGAGGTGTTTTTGATTGTTTAGCGGTGCACAGTGTGCCCAGGACATGAAAAATTCCTTTTTCTGACCTTTTATTTTTTCACTTTAAATAGTATTTTTATAATGTGTAGGGCATATGTTGGTCAGTGCAAAAAAAGTTTTGAAATTCATCAAACCATTTTGTTTTTATAGCTGTTTGAAATTGAAGAAAATATTGACGCAAAATATTTGTCTTAAAATTGTACCAATTCTGTTTTTTAACAACAACTTTAAAAAAATTTTTCTTTCCTGGACTGTAAATAATATTAAATTTGTGAATTACTTAATGAAAAATAAAAACTGAAATTTAAACATTTTTTTTGTTTTGTTTATACCTAAAAAAATTCTAAAATATATGAAAATATATTTTTTTAATTAAAAAGAAAGCAACAGGAAAAAAAAGGCCGCAGGAGGCCGCAAATAAACTCAAATGTTTTATTAAAATATAGATTTTCTATTTTTATGTGTAAAAATTTCACAGTCCGGTTATCCCCGGAAATAGAGTAATTTAAATTTGAAATTTAATTGTTCGTACGAGTTGATATTCGAGGTTGCGTAATTATGAAAATCAACTTTTACGGACGATTCAGGAATATCTGTTGATAACATGCAACAAAATGTTATTGATAAAAAAAAGAGAATTAGAAGAAATTTTAATAACCTTGAACATCAAATTAAGTTCATTTGAAAAACCTAAGCTTATTTTAAAAACAATCAAAGTGAGATATAATCTAACTATAGAAGATGAAAAAGATAACATCAAGAAAATTTTAAAGCAAATTGACAGACACGTAAAAAAATATTCAAAGTTGAAACAAAACAAACTTTTGGCCAAATTGGAAATTTGGAGAAACGATGTGGGGATAAACCCGGGAATCTACCTGCAGCATCATCATCCAGGGGTGATGTAGAAGAAGAGGGAGCTCCGCAAGCTAAAAGAGGACGGAAATCAAAAAGACTAAGGTAAAAGTTTAGTTGTTGACATATATTTGAATTTCTTAGGCATCATGTTATTTGGGACACTCAGTGGCTATTTTTTTACTTTTCATAATACATTATTATTTAATTCAGCGATCAACCTGAAAAACGTACCTACAACAAAATTCTGGATAATTTTGAGGACATCGTGGAAAAACATGCAAGTGAACAGGGAGTAGATAAGTCAGAATACTTAAAAGAAGTTGTCCAAAGATGTGAAAAAAGATGGGGAAAGGAAGAAGGAGTAAAACTTCCAACAATATCAGTACAGGAAGCAACTGCTTTAATCTACAACTTGGATCTATCCATAAATAAATATCAGGTGAAATATGCAATCAAATACTGTTGTAATTAATTGTTTTTCTAATTGTACGTTTGAATAATTGTACGTTTGAATTTCATATATTTACCTAGGAGCTGAGACTTGAGCTTCTCCCAAAACTAATGTTGCCAACAAGGAATGATGTAGAAACCTTTAAACATACTTTGCTACCAAAGGAATTGAGTAGTGATGACAAACAAACTTCATCCCCTGTGAAAAATGTTATCAAAGACACTGTTGAGACTCTACTTGATATATCCGGGTTTTGTGCTGAAAATTATTCTATACATGTAGAGGGTAAATTTGGACTTGATGGATCTGGAAATCACAACTATCGTCATCAGTTTTCCGATCCTCAAGATGCAGACTTAAAAGGAACAAATTATATTTGTTTTTTTTGGTGTCCCCTTGAAATAAAAGATTCAAAAAACCAAGTTATCTGGACTAATCCAACCCTTAACTCCATTAATTTTTCCAGGCCTGTTATTCTAGTAAAAGCAGAAGAAACTAGGGACAGTGTAAAAGAGTATTTTAAACCAACTCTGAGCCAACTGCCTAAAAATGAAACTTTGCCTATTCTTTCAGAAAATGGTTTGCAAATATTTGTAAAAACAGAGATAAGTATGGTTGATGGCAAAATGGTAAATTTATTGGTGGGTGATTCTGGAGCTTTTTGTCACTACTGCAAATGTTCCAGAGATGATGCAAATGACCTGGTATGTATACTACATGGGTTTACCATAAATAAAAACTATAATGATATGCTCAGTACTTGGAGAAGACTAGAAAATAGCGAAATCTCCTACAAAGATACTGAAAGACATGGACAATTCCATAAACCTATAGTTGAATCAGATGTAAAATTTTTTGCCATTCTACATCAAAAGCTACGTGCACTTGACCACTGTCTGAAGTTGTTATATCATATTGTGGGCTAACAAACCCATACATGGTCTGAACAGGACATAAAGGTAAAAACTGCTTTGAAGACAGCAAAAAGAAAAGTTATTCAAAATGTACGCGAGAAAACAGGAATGCTTCTTGATTCTTCTACTTCTAGTGGTGGTAACACGAACAATGGACCATTAGCAGATCGTTTTTTTAGTCCAAAAGAAAGAAAGTCTATTTGTTCCGTAATTCTTAAAACAGAAGACCAAGATAGCTTCTCGGCTTTGTTATCTAAGTTCAATATACTCTTTAGCATTAATCAGCATATTGATATTAGCAAAAAGGTTGATCCTGATAAAGTTAAAGAAGTTGGTTATGGATTGATGATATTCCATAAACAGACATTTCCATGGTTGCACATGCCTGGGACATTTTCATGGACTTTGCTTAGCCCCAGCTTGCATCAAATGTGTGCACATGCCTGGGAACTATTTGTTATTACAGGTGGATCACCCATTGCCAAGTACTCTGAGCAATCAGGCGAAAGTTGGAATAAATACATTAAGGCTTATAAATCAGGAACAAGTTGTAAAGTAAGACAAATGTCTTTGCAAATTAATACACATGACATTTACTGCAGACTGATGATAAAGAAACATCCAATTATTGCCAGTAAAAAAAGACTTTTGCAATGTGGAACATGTGGAAAATTCGGACATACCACAAGAGGGTGTAAAGTAGACGAGAACAACGTACTTAATGAAGAAAAAATGATAATTCAAGAATGTTTTATGTGACCATAAAAATAGATAAGAATAATATCTGTGTATATTTATGTTTAATATCAAATTATTATGAACTCAAATATATTTCATTATGAATTATATATAATATCCTTTTCTAAGCAACCTTGCAAGCTATTAACTTGCTAATCACGGGGATCGAGGAGCTATTTGTTATATGGGACGTGGGAAGTTGGATGACAAATTAAAAAAAATATATTTTTTTCAATTTATACTTTATAGTTTATTTGAAAATTTTGAAAAAAGTAAGAGCATGACTCTCGGTGCCCCTTCCCATCCCCTACCGTTGCCCCATTCTCTGGGTTAGAGTGCACACACGTAAAATTTAACTTCAGAATCAGATTCGTCAGCCCAAAAATGTAATATATTAAAATTTTCAAAAGATTTCATTAACAAATAACAAATTTATGAATTTTTTCCAAAAAACTACATTCTGGGCACACAGTGCCCAGAATGTAGTTTTTTATTGGTAATAGCTTCTTAAACAAAAAATTTATTTCAGTTGCATCCTTATGATCACATAATCGGTCTAACTCTTTATTTTAATATACTTTTCCTTTAATATTTGCAAACCGAATCCAAATTATTGCATGAGAATGTGCGTTCTAAAACAAAAAATTTATTTCGGTTGCAGGTGCAAAACATGGTATGTATACTTTGTATAACCATTGAACAATTTGAAAATAAGCAAAATAAATTTTTCTAAACGCAACACCCTTTTTCCCACCTCCAAGTTTTCTAGCAAAAATAAATATTCTTTCTAAGAAACAAATGTGAAAGCATTTTTACGTTAATTTTGAACAAAGTTTTTATTATTATTAATTAAAAATGAGGCGCCTCTGTTATTTTTAATTTAAAAAGGCGTCGCCTTTATAATTTTTTAGTTAAACAATTTTTCATTTTTTTAAACTAACTTTCATCTTCATTTGTAGGGAAAATGAGGTTCCGTGCAACACTTTTTACCCCAATTGAAGGGACTTTAATATCAATTAGAGAATCAGGTATATTAATCTAATTTTGTAAAGCAACGATGCTAAATAAATGTCGACTAAAATTTTCTTTTTTAGTTTTGTAACGGTGTCTACTAGTTCTTACATCAAAGTTATTGCTGACAAATTGCTGACAAGACTTAAATGAAATATCAATCTGTAAACTTGACAGATTGAATTTTAAGGTATTCCAATTTGGCAATTTAATAAAATCAATTTCATTATTAGATTTAGGCTCTTTTAATGAAACACCTTCCAGAAAAAAGCTTCCCTGGAAGATGATATTGGCTCTTCTAATAAAAACCGAAAATAAAGTGTTTCCTTGGTAGATGTTTCAAAAATCAAATTTTCTTTTGTAAATCAAATGCAAGCAAGTAATATTACTAAAATATTAAAATTTGAGTTTTTTACAAAATTCTTCATGTTATGAAGAACCTTTTAAAAAGTTAGCTGTAATCTTATTCAAATTTAATAAATTCTTTCTAATTATAATAACCATATATGAGTGTGTGTTTGTGTGTGTGTATATATATATATATATATATATATATATATATATATATATATATATATATATGCACGCATATTTCATACTACATATTCTTTTGATATTATGAAACATAATTTGAAATGCACAGTACGACGAGGCAATTCGTCTATCAAATATGAACAAATGAACATTAATAATAAAATAGTTAGCAGTAAAATGATTATGAAAACAGTTGATTTATTGATAAAACAGAAGAAAATTTCAAAAGTTTCATTTTTTTATTCATTTATACGCAAACGAAAAGTAGCGAACTATTTTGTTTAATATTTACTAGCTGAGGGTAAATATTTTTTCTAATAATCAAATCAAATAGTATGCTTTTATAAAATGTTACCTGATCTGAGGATTTTAAAAATAAAAAATATAGAATTAGTAAATTTTGATTTTAAAAAACCACTTACATTTTGTTTTGTAACTCTAAAGGTGTAGTATGTTAATATGTAAATAACTATAGATAAATTACTTTAATGTTTGTATAGGTGGTTTTACTAAGGTAAAGAGCTTATCTGGGAAATGGAAATGTTCTTATTGAAACTATGATAGAAACAGCGCTTTCCTTCGTAAATTCTATAAAGTTAGCCATCTTACATAAAGCCACAACCACACAGATTGTCAGAAATATTTGTAGGCTTAGTGAAAGAATTGGGAGGGACTCAAGGAAGTCTTGTTCAGCTATGAACTTCAAAATATCAAATAATGACCAGTCTTTGGTTTTATGGAAAGTGGTATCTGACGCTTCATATGTCTTTTTAGCATTGGTATTTCTTTTAAAAACTCAACTTAACTCAACGGATAATTCTTCATAGAAAGTAGTAAATTTTGGAACTGACACCATGAACTCTATTTCAGTTGCTGAAATGGAATTGAATAAATAGAAGATTTTTAGCTTAAACAGCTTTAAATATTGTTTATCGCTGTTGATCTGGTCTTTAGTTCCTAATGAAAATGATCAACAACTCCAGCATGGCCCTATTATTTTCTTCTTGCAAATTCAGCCTAGTATCTCTAAGTTGTTCCTGTGCTATTTTCTTCTTGAACCTTAACTATCTCTTGAATGGAATTCTATATTATTCTAATTTTAAAAGTGCTTGTTCAATTGTATACTCCAAAAGGTGACTGCTCTTCTTTTGCAGAGAAAGTCTTGATGTCTCTAGCTTAGCCACCACTTTGTCAAAAACTAGGCTTTTAGTCTGCAAATACTGCTGTAATATCAACCTTCTCAAGTACAACAGCCGAATAAATAAAAATTAAACAATTACAAAAAATAAAAAATAATTTTCTTAAAAAAATGTCTGTAAACAACATATGTATTACTTTCCTAAAACCGCGTGAATCATGCGTCATTAATTAACGCATATGCAAATAGATTGCAAATAGAAAAAAAGATTTTACCCAAGCAATAACAGTTCTTTTTCATTTAAATACCAGACGCTCTGCATGGTGGTACCTTTTGCTTACTCGTGTATTTAATTATGAACAGTTATGATGCCCATCTAGACCGAGATCTGTCTGCTCTGTCAAATTTTCATTTTATTTCATTTCGATGTCAAGTCGGGATAAGTCACCCGGTGCGACTTGCACCTACAATTTTTATTATTTGCAACTGCAAATAATAAAAATTAGAACCTCACTAAAATATTTATAAGTATTGTTAAATATCTTAACGATAAAAATTTTACTCTTTTTTTAATTTATTTTTGCTTTTTTTTCTTTCTAACATAAATAAGATATAATTTAAGATAAAATTTCAAGATATATAAAACTGATAGGGGAACAAGCGGAAAAGAAATTTCTAAAATAAAAGAGAGAGTAAGAAAAGTCGAAAGAAAAAAAGTATAAAACTTACTGCTTTTTTAAAACAACTTTAAAAATTGGAAACGAAGTCATACTTTTACTATTATTCGGAAGAAATGAGTTTCACAAGGTATCCATCGTATCCAAGGTACCTCTCGGCATGTTGATTTGTTATTGCTATTGGTGAAACTAGAGTTTTTTGGTAATGTCGAAATTTAAATTTTTTGGTATTGCTGAAATTGATTTTTTGTAAAACTTATCTAAGTAGTGTTACCTGCATGCAATATTAACTTAAACAAGTAGCGTTACCTGCTTGCAATATTAACTTATCCAAGTAGCGTTACCTGCTTGCAGAGTTAAGCAATAACATCAATCTTAACTCTGCACCAATTCTAACCTTATACCTAACACCGCACAACCTTATACCTAACACCGCACAACCTTATACCTAACACCGCACAACTTATGATTAAGATTTTTCTTACAGTTATTAGTACAACTTTTTTATATGTCTAAGAGGTTATCAGCCTCTGTAAAAGTTTAAAGGGAAGAGCGTTTTCTCATGTTGCAAGTTTTATATTTGTAACTGTCACAGAGTGGAAGTTTTTCTTTTAACGTACACGAAACAACTCAGTCAGCGGCATTTGGGTTCTTTGAAGTATGCAATTTTTAAATTAAAAGATTTTTTATGTGACAACTTTTAGTACACTGCCCAATACAGAAAATAGCACAACTGCGTTTGTCATCTTTACTGATAGTTTGACCTTTGTTAAAAACTGTTTTAAATAGAGGTTTGTTCGGCAAGTTCTAAAAGTTTCATACTAAATAGAGTTTATGTTCAAACTGATTACAGGGTTACCAAAGTTTTTGATCAGCTGAATCGATTAACTAAATTCAATTTTTTCACTATTGACACAACACAATTGGATATTGGTTTTTGAAAAATATTATAAATACAATCAAATTTATATTATGATCCTATTTAAATTGACTTATTAGATTTTAAATTTCATTAAACCATATTTTGGCGCTCCAAAGATGCAGCCACAGAAAGTTTAAAGTCCCTCTCATTTTTAAACATTTTTAGAAAATAGATGTGGCTACAATTCATTTTCAACGGTTTTTATATCAATTATCTTGAAAGGGCAGGTAAAAGAAATCTGATGTAAAAAAAAATCAACTGAAAACCTCTAAAAAAGAGCAGTACAGAGAAGTAAATTTTAAACAAGTTTTATTAAGTTAATAATCAAATAGATCAAGCTATTTATTTATTTATTATTATTTTTTTTTTGCATTTAAAAAAATAGATAAAAAGATAAACTTTTGCTGTTGTAGTATTTAATAATTTCGTTTATGAGAAATTTAGCAGCTAACATTTATCAATTATTATTAAATCTGTTCAGAAGAGAATCTCAAAGTCTCCAGGAACCTTATTTAGATTAAATCTGGTTAGAAGATCTCTAATTTCTAGGCACATTATTAAGATCAGGTATTAAAAAATTTTGATAAAAATTATCACAATGCTGATACTCCAATAATAGCTCGGATTAACTAAAGGTCTTTTACAAGGAGTACAGAGATAGATTTCAAAATACATTTCAGTTTTACATTTAATTTTTATTACACATTCATCTTTTTATTTTAGAATTTATTACCAATAATAATTAAACTCCCACTGGCCTTGAACAACTGCATAGATAATTTATGATTACATCATATTTAAAGTAATTTTTTCGAATTTAGAATAGCCTTAATTATTGGCACTCCTATCCGACGTGACACTTGGTGTAAATGTCATTTGAAAAAATTAAAAAAAATGAAACTGTCGAACCAAGGTTTGAAGAAATTTCACCTCTTCTGTCATTGAAGAAAGATCCTATTAGTTACCAACGTTGGATTATGTTATTTGTTTTCTCATTAAATTCAATGGTAAGTGGCATACTGTTTATAGGAATTAGTCCAAAAAGTGTTATCTCTAAAAATTATTATAAAACTAGTGAAATAAATATTCAATTACTAAACAATATTTTTCCTGTCATGTACACTGTCACTGCAATGCCTTCATCGTACTTTGTATTTAAAACAGGATTAAGACCAGTGCTTGTTGTAGCATCCGCTATGAATGTGTTAGGTACTGCTTTTCAATTAACCAGTTCTAGGAAAAATGGTTTTATTTTACTTGTTATTGGCCAATTATTGGCCGCAATTGGAAACAGTGCTATATTGCAAATGCCAAGTCGCTTATCATCTCAATGGTTTCAAAGTAAAGAAAGAGGAAAAGCTACAGCAATTGGATATTTCATGTCAATGATTGGCGCATCACTCAGTTATTTGCAAAATACACTTATGATTACGGAATACAATAACTTGGACAAACTCAATAAACAATATCAAGTTTTTTACTTATATCGGTTTGTATTTGTCATTATTACCTTTTTATTAACGTTAGTATGTTTTAAGAATTCTGCTACACCGCCAAGCATGTTTCAATCTCATTCTCAATTGTCGCAAAACCTAAGTAAAAAAGAAACATTTAAAAAATACATTTCAATGCTTCTAAAAGACAAATACTTTTTAGCAATGTCACAATCTTATTCGATTTATTACGGACTAACTGGAGCAATATCTTTGTTTTTGAACTTATTTATGGACAAATACAAAAATGATTTTGCTGAAAAGGTTGGGTGGATGGGCGTATTTAATCTTATCTGTGGAATTGTTGGCTGTTTTGTTTTTGGTATATTATTGGATAAACTTAAAAAGTTTCGAGCTTTAGCAACTATTATTAATTTTAGTGCAATGATGACCTGGTTGGCATTCATTCTAACTTTGAAAAAAACAAATAGTTTCTACGGACCGTTTGCATTATTTTTGATATTTGGTTTTTTTTCCTACCCCTATGTAACAGTTGGATTTGAGCAATCTGCAGAAATGACTTTTCCAGTTCCAGAAGAATTTTCAAGTGCATTTATTCTTATCATTTCTCACATTTATGGTTTAATATTTGGTCTAGTATTTGGATATCTTTATCGAACTGGGTTAGTAGAAACTGTTCCTTATATTGTTACTGGATTTTATTTTTTAAGTACATTGCTGACTTGCAGTGTTAAAACTGATTTAAAAAGGTATTCTTCTGAGTTTGTTCATAAATTTAACTCAATATTAATAGATTAAAACAATATTATAAAAGGAAAATGAAACGAAAAAAGTTATTGTTGATTATCATGGTTAAAGATTTTTCATTCCACTAAGTTTAATATAAAATAATCCTAAATATTTTATATTATATAAAATTTTAAGCATAAGCAAAAAGGAAAAGTTACAAATTTATAAAAAATATACAAATAATATATAAAATAGAAAATTTGTTTCAAATTAGTTTTTGTACACAAACTTAATAGCCTTTTTGTTTTTTTTGTTCCTTTTTGTATATATAATTATTTTCTTTTTGTACATAATTTTTTTTTTTTGTTCATAATTGTTTCCTTTTTGTATACAATTATTTTCTTTTGTACATGTATATAAGTGTTTTTTTTGTACGTAATTATTTTCGTCTTGTACATTTTTTTTTTGTGCATAATTATTTTCTTTTTGTATATAAATATAGGTTCTTTCTTTACAATTAATAATATAGCTCTCCAAAATAACACGTAGCGTACTTCTTTGCATGCACTTTTCGATCAAACTTACGAACCATGAAAGAATTACTAGCAACATAGTGCATGGTTAGAATTATTTTGTTCTATCTCCATGTTTTTCCGAACTGAGAAAATCAAGTGCAAAGTTTTAAATGGACCTGGAGACCAAATAACATAAAAAACACAAACAAATTTGATTTGTATCAATTTTCCTACACAGGCTACCATAGTTTCAAAAAAATTGTTTTAAAATATTTAAAGTGCAGGTGTCTGAATTACTCCACCCTGATATGGAGATAAAACAATTTAATACACACTTTTCTTCATTTTCTGTAAAAATAGCATAAGACAAACTAGTATTATTATTATTATATATATAAATATATATATATATATATATATATATATATATATATATATATATATATATATATATATACATATATATATATATATATATATATATATATATATATATATATATATATATATATATATATATATATATATATATATATATATATATATATATATATATATATATATATATATATATATATATATATATATAGAGAGAGAGAGAGAGAGAGAGAGAGAGAGAGAGAGAGAGAGAATAGCCGTGGCGCAGTGGTTAGAGTTCTGGCTTAGAACCCAGAGGTTCGACGCCAGCTCTAGCCCAACAAGCGACATTGGTACGGAAGGAGGAGTGAACTTCCTGTTAAATGCTCTCCCGCGGTGATCTGTGATAAGACCGTAAGAACCCAGGAAAAAAAGTTCTATACAATTTTCTATAAAGTTTTGAACATAAAATTCTATAGAACTTTTTTTCCTGGGGACATCTGGAAGCACCTAAAATAACTACAAAATTAAAAAAAAAAATTACAAAATAAATCTTATTTTATACTTGTGAAAAAATTACATAAAAACGGTATTTTGTCTAAAATTCAATTCAATAGAGAAGGTAAGTAATATATTATCTAAAGCATGTACCAAATCTTCGCAACGAAATAAAACTTTAGTTATAAATTCTAATAGCATAACATCTAAAATATATTGCACAATAAAAAGATATCTTAAAGAATAATTAGTTAACCAGCACCTCTGGTTAATCCATTAAAAACAAAACATTTTAGTAAGAAGCTTATTTAACAGCATAACATCTATATATAAATATTTTGATAATCAAATAAATTATTTTGAAATTATCTTATATAATGCAATATTTACAGCAGGCATATACTTGAAGGACATTGGCTTTATCATTTGAAATTTGAGCACGCATATTCAAGGCGGAAGCGATTAGTTCAACTGCCATGACAAAGATCGTAGATTGTTAAAGGCTTAATTCATACTTTTGAACAAACATCAGAAAATGACTTTCTGTAGGATCTTAATGCAAGATGTTTTATCTGGATATAAGGAACAATCTTTAAATTAAAATAGCCTGCAACAGCTGAAAAATGTTTAAAATCCAATTTCTTCATTTGGTAAACAGAAAAAAAAAACTGTTTTTTGAGAGCAGGAATTGTTCCGATTAAACCAAGGAGACTAGATATTTCAGCTGAAACGTGTGTTCCGTCAATTTGACTATGGATATTGTCAACCTCTTGTATACTAGAATTCCCTGATTCCAAACTTTTGTTAAATTACTCTGATTTGGGTAACATATCAAAAACTGACGTAAGGCGATGGTAAAATGACTATTTCTTTGTTGGTTTGATGAAGTTTCTTCTAAAGTCGTTTAGTTCAGTTTTTACAAGTTGTCCATTCTATAGACCAAAAATCAATATTCGTGTTCATTTTTTATCACTGATATTGTGAGCATTTAAATTTAAAAGAACTTAACAGTCTTTTATTTTGGTTACAAACTTGAAAGAAACATTTTCTCCTTTTCTATTTTTATATAGCTGATCATATTGTCTTTGCTGCTTTCTCACATTCTGTGTACACGTTTTAGGTGTTGAGTTTCATTTCCAAGTTTTTCCTCAACGTAGGAGCAGACGACGAGCTGGTGCTATTTTAGATGTATTATTGTGATAAATAAGAACTGCCAGATCAGTTTCTGAAAAAAAATTGTTATATATATATATATATAATATATATATATATATATATATATATATATATATATATATATATATATATATATATATATATATATATATATATATATATATATTTATATACATATTTATATATATATATATATATATATATATATAAATATATATATATATATTTATATATATTTATATATATGTATATATATATATATATATATATATATATATATATATATATATATATATATATATATATATATATATATATATATGTATATATATAGACCTATCTCCGTACTCCCTACCTTTTCTAAGCTTCTCGAACAAGTAATCTATAACAGATTGTATGAGTATTTAATCCAAAATAAAATCCTAAATAAAAAGCAATTCGGTTTCCAAAAACAATATTCAACTGAACACGCAATCCTACATCTAATTAACAATGTAATTCTTTTGATAAAAGAATTACATTGTTAATTAGATGTAATTTTGACAGGTCTTTATAGACCTGTCAAAAGCGTTTAATACTGTAAATCATAATAACTTTTTTAAAACAATGGAAAGCTATGGGATAAAAAACATGACCCTTGACTGGTTCAAAAACTATTTAAGCAACAAACAACAATGTGTTTTTTCAGATAATTATAAACACTCAAAACTAGTAAGAGTTGAGCGCGGTGTCTTCCAAGGTTCCATTCTTGGACCTCTTCTGTTTCTTCTGTATATTAACAACCATACAAAAGCTTTGAAAAAACTTGATACAAGTATGTTTGGCGATGACACAAATTTATTTTATTCTTCAAATTCATTCAAAGAACTTTATGAATGCATGAGAACTTAAAAGATTAAATATATAGTTGAAATTAAATAAGTTATCACTAAATACAATAAAAAACAAAATGCATATTGTTTCATTCCAAAAAACAAAAAAATAATATACCAACTGTCCTTCCCTCACTAAAAATAGATATGATAAACATTGAAAGATCAGAAACAACTAAATTTCCTGGGATACTTATTGATAAAAATATATTTTGGAGAGCCCATATAAGTACAATAAACATCAAAATTTAAAAAAAATATTGGGATATTCTACAAAGTTAAATCATGGCCTACTTTATTTATACGGCCGGATATTTTACATTTTGAAGAAAAAAATAGAAGGCCAGTTTTTAAAATCGTAATGTTTCAAAAATTTAATACGTTTTGAACATTTTCAATATTATTTTACTTTCTACATTTAAAAAGTCCACAAAAGTTGTATTTATTCATAATTTTAGATATTAAACGAACATTTATTAAGAAATAAATAGTGTTTATTTTAAAATTTAGTATTAGTAAAAACGATGTAAGAAACAAGAACAGTTATAAAAAATATTTAAATGTTTCTCTTTTTTCATTTAAAAATAAAATAATTATATATAATTTATTAAATTTTCTCAAATTTTCTCTTTTTAAAAGATTTCACATGATCAACAGCTACTTCACTGGTAGAGATAATTCTTTTATTATTAAGAAAAATGTTAACAATTCTTCCAGCAAGTTTTATCCCAGTTTTCTCATGCATGGGACAAGAAAAACTCTAAAAAGAGTCATAAAAGTGGTTTAACAAATATTCTAAAGCTTGTCGTGCATGTAAACTAAATTTCTTTATTTTTTTATAAAAGTAGTCAATCATAGCAAAGGATGTGCAAACATAATCCAAAAGTGATGGTGAAGGAATAGTGAGACCACCCCTAGAAATAATTGTTAAATAAGTATGATCAGGATTGCTTTCATCAATATTGACACAACATAAAAATTCTTTACAACATGTACCAAAACGTTTTTTAAGTTTCTTTGCTATATAACCAGCAATATGACCTACTTCCCTACTTTCTGGTGCAAGTGTCATGATTTCTGGAGTATCTTTTGTGATTGCCAAACTTCAATCCAATGTGCCATTTCCCAAAGAAATTCAGGTTTTTTATCACCAGAAATGACTGCATTACCTAAAATATTACATGCTGAATACTGACATTTAGAATTTGATAAAACTCACCACTTGTTAAATAATGTAAGAAAATCTGCACTACTTTTAAGATCTGGAAAATATGAGTGAATCGCTGCTGATGTAGTTTCATCAAAAATTGCAAGTGCTAAAGAAACATTTTGTTTAAAATTGCCAGGATGTAACACTTTCATTGTTATTTTTGGTGCTTTAAGCAAACCAGCATCAAGAGTGAGGTCTTTTTCATAAATATTGTGGAAGGTACTCCATTTAATTTCTCCCCCACATACAATTAAAGGATCTTTAAATCCATTAAAGTTAAAATCTGGAAATAAAAATCTTTTGCAATTTAACAAATTATTTCTGATGTTTTTAATAAGATGTGCAACATCAAAACAGAGGTAAATTTTTTTTAGATTGTAAATAAAAAACAAACCTTCAGCTTGTTGATTCGATGCACAAAGGATTTTTTTAAAACAAGAAACATTAGCAGAATGGT